TCTATGATTCACTTGTAGGCAAGAGAGGCAGGATGAAGATTTCAAAATGCTATTAAGTTTCTAAGCTTCAGCTGACCTTTCTCTAGAGGATGGAGCAGTATTTGCTTACCTAAGTATGTTTATTATTAATTTTTTAACGAACTTTTTAGGTTGCTTTGTGACTACTGGTCAATCAATCAAGGAATTAAAGGAGAGCAAAACATTGTAAAAAGACTCCAGCTCTCCTCCTGGCAGCACAGAGATAGGAAGAGGATTAAAAACTGGAGGAGAGGCAGCTTTGTTTTGACTTTAACCTGGGGCCTATCACTGCATATCCAAATGACCATCACAGTTTGTCCTAATACAAAAGGATCCCACACAAGGTCCCTGGGCTGCCAGCTGAGCTTAGACCCAGAATTTCACCCCATTATTTGAACACCAAACCAACCCTTCCCACCCATCACAGCTAAGGATCAGCTTCTAAGGATCAGCTTCTAAGGATCAGCGCTGTCAGGAGAGGATGATGTGGAGAGCAAACCACAGCCATCAGCTCAGGCCCTGGAGGGACAGGGATGTTGACTGTTCTTCCATTTGTTCTCTCATTCAGTTTCACATATTTACTCTGTTTCTTATTTTCAATTAACTTGAGCTAAGATACTCATTCAGTCCAGTCTGCTTCCTTTTCAAGGTACCATCAGTCAAATCCAACCACATCATTTTATCTCTCGCTTATTAAATTCAAACCATTTTAAACATCCTGCTTTCATCTTTATAGCTCTCTCCCACTTTTTAACCATGCTGCAGTTACAGAAGAATGTTCTTGACATATAAAATGTGCATGTGACTCCTTTAACATTTTAATGCCATGTATTGTGTTGTAAACATCTCTTCATGTTTTATCTCCTTCTCCATAAATCAGAGGCTATCTTAGAAGTCTCAAAAACGACATGTCTTCTCCATAATATAAATGTAAGACTACTCCTTGAAATTTGAGTCAGCTTTCAAAAATCATCAAAAACCAGAGCTGTGAAAAAGCAGAATATTATCAACTAACTTAATAGCATTTTCTCCCGCTGCATTTCTATGACAGCATGAGCACAGTAGGGGAAAAATACATTACAAAATGGGTCTTCAATCAGAAAACCAAGGTAAAAAATACTCTTTTTTTGGTCATTTGTAAGGAACAAAACTAAGGTAAAAGTACCTTATTGTGTATCCATACCAATAGACAACACTGAGAGGCAGGAAATTGGGCAGTATAAAAAAAGTGATATGCTAGGAATAATTATTTGGTTTATTTAAGATTAACATGCAGTGTTTACAAGATTAAACCCCAGAACATATTTCCATTTCCTTACCTTAACTGCAATTAATAAGACTGATCTTTTCTAATCAGATTTTCCAGTGTTTTTTGCTAGCTTAATAGTGCTACAGCAAAAATGTGTCTCAGCCTGGGTAAATGCATTAAGTGATTTTTGTTTTTTTCAAATAAAAAAACCTGTAAAATACTGATTACTTTGAAAAGCTAGAGCACCAATAAAGAACACCTGTCCAAAATAATTTTAAGTACTTCAATGATGGAAAAAAGAAAGAGAACCACTAGAAAAAAAAAAAAGAAAAAAAAAAAAAAAGAGGAAAGCAGTTTTAGCAGGTGGGAGTGAAAAGTGGTGACATGTTGTAGTACAATAGTGAAGGGCTGAAGGATGTAACACAGTGTTGCATGATGTGGAAGAGACCCAGGCACCACAGGATTATTGTGCCATGAAAATGCTGGATGAGGTGCAAAGGACAACCCTGAAGTCTTGTGATATGAAGGAGTGAGGCAGAAGCAGAACTGCTGGTAACAGACCAGAGAAATAAACCACTATCTTTTCTTTGGCACCTTCCAGCAGGAGTTCACAGCCTCAAGCCCCAACACACTCTGCAGGAAAACCCAAGGACCCTCTGATATTTATCCAGATCCCCAGAATTCATAACATTTTCCCCCATCCTGAGAGATTCTGTTTCTGTCAAACTACTGTCTAACATAAATCATTCCAAGATACTTCTTTTGATTTTTTCTAAACAATTGTTTCTAGAAAGACCTTGCTGTAGAACAGACACCACATTTCCCCCTAATGCAAACCCATGCCCAGGTACTTTTTGTCTGTATTTTCCAGGGTATCTTCAAGCACAATCTTTTCACTGGCATTTTAGAAAGACAAAACAACACAAAAACAGGAAAAAAAAAAAAAAGCCAACACCAAAAACCTCACCACTTCATTAGAATAATTATCCAATTTCTCAGAATTGTCATAGAAATACATGAGAAATACATTCCTTCTACTTGCATCAGAAAGTACAGCTAGAATTTAGAATTTATGTATTCTGAAACTTGTTTGTAAATACATGTCTTTGGTGGAAAAAAACCACCATATTGTACTTCTGCAAATAATGGGAAAATACAATGTTGCCAAATCTCATAATTTTATTAGTGCTTTCTTGTTAAGGACAGTGAAAGTGGGGCATGAAACTTCACTCTGGCAAACTTTTCTAACTTTCTAGCTCTTGAGGCTAGGAAAAAATGTCTTCAGTCTAATAATACATAGGTATCTGAAATGAAGAGAGTAGGTGATAATTAAAAAAAGAGACCAAAGATGACTTCTTGGTCTCTCTGTGTTACTTAGCACAGCCCTGGCTCCCCTCCCCACATAATTCAACTTAAATAGTTAATGCAGCTTAAATCAGTGGGAGTAAACTGGCTTCAGCTTGTTCATTGTTAAATTAAGTGATTGAGAGAAGGCAAAAAATCCAAAACCAAGAGAAGGCAACAAATCCCAAACCACAGACTTTTGAACAGTTCAAAATTTCTATCAATACTTCCAGGAACATTAAGGAATCTCTGCTGCACTTTCACAGGACCAGGATCCTCACATCCTGTCCTAAATCATGGGGAGGAATCTTACACAATCAACACTTTACCTTCCCACGACATACTTGAGGATTGTAAATTGTGAACTAAGATTTATCAGGGAAATGAGGGGTGGGAAAGACAAGTTGCCCTTAAAGATGTCCAGATTTATGGCACTACGGGAAGCGGAAGGACGGTTATCATATAAAAAGGTCCTTAAGGGACAGCAAAGAGCAACAAGGGAAACATGAGTCATGAGCTGCCAGAGGAGAGGACGCGCATGGGGAGAACTGGACAGAGCAAAGTAGCAATAAAGGAAGTTCCAAGTCAAATGTGCTCCTTCCCAAAGGTCGAGATAGATACCCAAGATTACAGTATATATTGAAAATTAAACTCCCAGCCAGTTCTGACACTGCACCAGCAGCAACACCAGGAAAAGGACGCTCAGCGACTGAGATGTGTGTCAAGGATCCACTGACAGACAAGGTCACAAGAGCACAGCTCTGCTCTTCTGCTTTGGTACCAACTCTGCTGCTTTCTTTTCCTTAGCAAGAGCAGCTGCCATGAAGGGCTGTCTGCACGGGCTAGTGGCTCACAGGGGTGAGTGTGCAAACTTCAAGCTGAGATTGTGAAAGGCAGTTTTCCACCTTGTGAGGCTGGATGAAGCTTCTCTATATAAAGGCATATTAACAGCTGTTCCTCTGGTGAGACAGCAATGAGTAAATACTGAATTATGAGCCCAAACACAAAGTTCTTGCACTCCTAACTTGTGTTTCCCATCCCAGCAGGCCTCAAAGTGTCCAACTCTGAAGTGATGGTACAGGATTTCTGGTACTCCCAAGTATCTCTGGATTTTTAAAAGCAAGATTTTTAAAAGTGACTTCCAAGAGTTTAAAATGTGGCTGCTTTTGAGCCAAAACAGAACAGTGAGCAACAGATGTACATGATGACCAATGGGTACTTCAGAGAACACTGGGACTTTCTTCAAATTATTTCTCAAGGCTACCTAAGTGTTTTCAAGTAAGGTAGGCTACCAAATATTTCCAAGCAACAAAAAATGATGCAGCATCCTTCCTATTTTGCAGAGAAACCACAGGAAGTGAGCTGCCTGCCCTGACATGAAGCTCAGTGAAAGGAATCTGTACTTACTTCCTTCTGAGCAAGACACATGCTTATGGGTGCAACCTCAAAAAGCACATTGGGCACTGACACCTGGGGTGTTCTGAGGTGTAAACATCAAAGAGCTCCACGCAATCAAGGTGACTCCTGGATACAGATCACAGGAAACCTCCATGCCCTGTCCCACTAACAGGGTCCCAGGACTCAGTCCCCCTGCTCCCCAAGTGACTGCTGGAACCCTAAACTGCAATTGAAGTTGTCACTGGTACTGCCACTTCTTTATCCAGGGCACATGTACAACTGAGAGTGACCATGGCCACTACTATGCTTTGTAAGTCTAATCAACACCATAAGTGTTGCAACGTGCTCACTAGTAAGGCTCTCCTCTGGGGCTCTGGAAGAGCCTGGCAGCAACTTTGCTTCATAGCTGGATTGCAGGAGAGCTGAGAGATCAGCATCAAGCTCCACGGGCACGTTCACACATGCAAGGAAGCTCAAGTTGAAGCACCTGGAACATCTCCAGCATGAAACACCTACCACATGAGAGAATTTTCAGTACATTTTGCAGATATGCAGGAGATACCCCAGTTCCTGCCTGGACAGAAGCACAAACCCTGCCCAAGTCCCACTCAGTTTAGAAAGGTGCTCTGAGCTGCTCTCTGAACAAGGTCATGCAGTGATGCACCCCAGAAACCAGGCCCCATGAGGCTAGAGCCCCCATAGCTATTCTTACACTCCAATTAGCTCTTCCTGTGTCATTTTCAGTGACCCAGGCTTGGTATTATCAAGATAAACATTATTATTGGGAGGCTTAAAACCTCATCAACTCAATTCTGAAAAAATACACTGCCTAGCAACTACACTTCAATTCTTGACATATATTCCTTTGGCAGTGTCAGTGGCTCAGAGCTCGTGTGGCAGCTGATGGCACAGACCTCCAAGCCACCCCCTGACACCACTGCAGAAGCCAGGACACCACCAGTTTGTGGTACAGACGAAGAGATGGACTGACCTGATTGATGGAGTTGGCAGCACAGGATGCCAGTCCAGTTCCAAGGGAGGCAAGCAGGAAACAGGTCAGGTCAAAAGGGACTGGGGCCATAGCAAAGCCAGCAGATGCAGTGCTCACCACCAGAGCTGCAAGGCAAGTGAGAGCATGGGTCAAGGCACCAACAAGAAACAATCTCCTTTCTACACACCACTAGAGTGAAGGCTTTTAAACGCTGCAAGAACTCCTGTGCAGATTAACTTTTGACTACTTTTATGGATCAAAGCAGCTTCATGAACTGAGTACAATTAATACTAATGCCCTACAGAAGGAAGGCGAAGATGAGAAGGAGAGTTGTCAGGGAGGACATGAGAAACCCCAAAGCATCAGCACGTTACAAGAGGGGAGAATAAAACTTATGCCTGTATTCCCTATTTCATGGATTTGCTGCAGGATCAAACTGCCTCATGCAACACATACATGAGATACCTTTGTTCCAGCAACTCTAATGCCCTGTTCCCATCTGACATGGCCACATCAGGCAGAAGGAACAATCATGTCATCACACAGAATTAGCAACATTTACAGGCCTCAAAAATTCAGTGGATTAATTGTCATCCAAAATTGTAAATTTAGCACAGTTCTTCAAATCACATTCTTAAAATCAAAGTTACCCAAGCCTCACTCCTAATATTTGTAATCACCCAAATTACAGATCTTACAAACCTAACCTTGGCAAGAAATAATATGACATGAAAAATTTCTTATTCTATAAAAGTCAGCACATTTACTGAATATCTTGGTCATGAGCTTGAACCTTACAATCTCAAATTAGCAGTTATTAAACAGAAAGTATTTAAATAATATTTTGCATGTAATTCCATGTTCCAGACCTCAGCTAGCCCAAATCAATGAATCTAAATGTGCTTATCTTCCTGATTCCTACAAAGTCTCCTGTTTGTCTGAAGTTAAATGACAAATAAATAACCTTTGCTGACCGAAAATACCTGGATTATCTACTAAGCAGTGTTACTTGAGATGAAAAATTAAATGTCATGGCAGAGACATGCCAGCAACGAGGCACAGGCAAAGTGCTAATTTTAAGAACTGTGCTTGCATAAGAACCTTAGGAATTAATCCTAAAAAGACAGTGAAGAAAACTTGCTGCTTATCAAAACGTTGCTCTAAGTATTCAAATCCATTGACAACTGAATATTATTATAATATTATACATAATATATAATACTTCTAAAATCCAGTGAAGCCACAAGGCCTTACTCCTCTTGGAAGCTGTGAAGCAGCCACAAACTCTGCAGCCCCACACAGGCAGATGCTGACCATATCTGAAAGTCTGGACCCCAATTATTATATGAAAAGAACAGCATCTTCATTTCAAAACTCTTGAATCCTTAGTAGAGCCCACAAGAAAATATCAAATGCATTGTCTTACAAACGATAGTGTTAAAAAACACCCAGAAAAGCTGACAGAAAAGCAGTGGTGTCTGCATTTCTAAGAGTGATTGCATTTTTTTTTTGCATAATAAATCACACGTGCACTTCTAGACAAGAATTTAATTAAAACTTATCTTAGAGAGCACTTTACACCAATTTATAATGGGAAAACACCAACTCATTTGCTGAAGAAGGAAGGTGGAGCAGATTGGCAAACAGTCAGTGTAACATTACCATTACACTGACCTCAAAGAAATTCTAATACTGTACAGCCACAGTGCTAATTAAATCTCCATTGATTTCTCCAGATTAATTTTAGCCAGACATTTCAGTGTGACTTACCAGGATCTCATTAAAAAAAGCCTGTAGTACATCCCCTCACTTATCCCATTGGAACAGGTATTTGAGCTGTTTGGGCAGTGACCACGAGGCATCCCTTGCTTGTCTCATCACCAGCAGTTTAAGTGCAACACGTTAAGAATAAATAATAAGAAAATGTTCCCTTTGGATTGGGAAGTTTATTTTTTTTTACTGTGGAAGCAATAATTTACTCTTCTACTTCCCTCATGGAAGAAAAGTATATTTAATTGAAATCACATCAAGGGAGTGAGGTCATTGCCTCTGTTTGTTTTTTAATCCCTATTAGTTTAGTGCTTTAGGGGCCAAATTAACTTCACGTTATTGCATAATAGATGGAATTGATCCTTTCAAGATTTGTTAATGAGAGTTGGCATTAAACAAGCTTCTCCAAAAGAAGCCGGGATTAAAACTTATGATCTCAGCCTAAACATAATTTTCAGTCTTTTAAACAATTTTAGCTTTTAGAAAAATTAACAAAGAACACTTGTCTCCAATTTCAATGTAAATGAAAAAGAAATTAATGGATCAGTGACAAAAAGAGTGAATTATAATGTTTCTAGCATTAAAACAGTCTTCAAAAAGCCTACAGTGTACAGTATTCTTTATATTCCTCTTCACCTTCATTGTAACGTGATCTGCCTTTATAAATCCCTGTCATTTCATAGAATCACAGAATCCCAGGCTGGTTTGAGTTGGAAGGGACCTTGAAGATCACCCAGTTCCACCCTTCTGCACAGGCAGGGACACCTCCCACCAGCCCAGGCTGCTCCAAGCCCCATCCAACCTGCCCTTCAACACTGCCAGGGATGGGGCAGCCACAGCTTCCCTGGGCAACCTGGGCCAGGCTCTCACCCTCACACTAAAGAATTTATTCCTAATATCTAACCTAAATCTCCCCTCTTCCAGCTTAAAACCCCTTGTCCTCTCACTACCAGAACTTGTAGAAAGTCCCTCCCCAGCTTTCCTGGAGCCTCTTCAGGGGCTCTAAGGTCTCCCGGAAGTCTTCTCTTCTCCAAGTCCAAGAACCCCAACTCTCTCAGCCTGTCCCCATAAGAGAGTATATTCAGCGTACCAATCACCAGGCCATATTTTGTTTAGGTCCTATTAAAATGAACCCAAACCAAACCAAAACCATAGAAAGTCAAAGCAAACCAGTTGAGCTTTAGATTTTCTTTCTACCCCTGTGCTGAAGAACTATCAGTACCTACAGGACAAAAGCAAATGTATTTCTACTTGAAGAAAAAATTTCACTGCTTTACTGCAAATGTTCATATACTCCTTAAAGGAAACCAGCATTCCAAGAGCTGATGGAATTTTCCTTCCAGAGTTTTCAGACTTTGGTTTCTGGAAAGCTAAACGTAGCATCAGCATTAGTGCTACACGTTTGACCAACGTTTACTTTCTAAACTTATACTTGTTTGGGGCAGACACATCTAAGCTTTGCTGTAGATTATAAACCTGCATACTAAAGAAGGCCAAACTCCTGGAGCAAACTTAAATTTGGGACAATATTTTGAAACAAGTCCCTGCATCACATCCTGTAACATTATGAACAGAGCAGCTAAGTCTCCTTTTACCATCAAACAATTTTAAAATGCTTGGAAAAAAAAATAAACTGCATTAATACTTTGGTTTTATTTGGCTAGTTCTCCTTGTAGCAACTGCCAGAAAACTACCACTATTGAGCTTTGTTTCCTTGATAGGATAATAGTTACTGGTTTAGCAATTACAAAATGAGAACTACTTTGACAGGCATATGAAATATATTTAGAACTGAGAATAAATGTTGACTAGTAATAACCCAAGGAGTGACTAGTGATAGATCTTTGTCAAAGGTCTGGGCTATATTAAAGCTCCCATTCAGAGCATAACTGCCATAATAAATGTCATTATTCCAGAATAAAATGGAAATGTACTGGATCTCCACTGAAAGACATGTTTGTTTTTTTTACTGGAGAGGTTGTTACCAGATTTTTAGGCCTATGAACACAATGTAGGCCCCTTATTTAGTCATTGTTGCTCCGTTATGCAGTGGTTTGGTAACACTCAAGAGTCCTCATGCCAAGCAGGAGACCCATCATCTGCCTTTTACCAACATTCAACAGACAGAGATGAAGCAGGATATTCATGATTACATCACAATTCAGCAGCAAATGCCTCAGGCTTCTGATTTCCAGCTCAACAATTTCATGCCAGAGCATCACTAATGCACAGACACAAACTCACATCCCATAAATTCCAGCTGATTTCTAGAAAATAAAACAGGATTATTTTCTTAAATGGGGAAATAAAATTTTAAAAAAGTGCTCTACTTCAGTCTCCAAGGCTGAAAATGCTCATAAATTAACATTTGTCCACTTTGCAAATGTTACATGTGTGTCAGTAAGTCCATGTCACAGAAGCCATGCCCAGTTTTGTAGCAGGCAGCCCTTACTCCTGGGATTTGTCCAGCAACAACACAGAGAAAATCAGACTGGAAGGGACCTCAGGTGACCACCAAGTCCAACCTCCTGCCCAAAGCAGGGTTAACCCTGAGTTCAGGCCAGGCCCCTTAGGGCTTTGTTATCTCCAAGGATGGAATTTTTACATCCTCTCTGGGCAACCTGCTCCACAGTTGGACTGTCGTCATGACAAACTTTTCTTTTTCCTTATGTTAAGCCAGAATCTCCTGTTTCAATTTATGAAACATGTTTGCTCTGTGGAAAAATTCCCATATTTCCAACAATACTTCAAAACTAAAGCACAGATGCTCCCAAATCTGTCTTTTAAAAGAATTTTAAAGACTGGAGAATGCCCACGTCCTCCCACCTATGGAAGGAGCTACTAGTGATCAGGAGGCATATATAAAACTTCACCTTAAAAACAAGTATCTAACAAATGTATGGGCCTCAAAGAACTGGTTATATCAGTCTTGTGATTCTGCCTGTAACATGCACATTACAATTTGATGTATGGATACTTAACACACTGAACCATAACAAGATACCAAGTGCAGAACCTGCTCTGATGAGATCTGAAACAAGTCTCCAGTAATCAGCACAGAAACAAAAATATTTACCATGCTTTAATGCATTGACTATTAAAACATTCTTTGAGAAAAAAGAGCAGCAAAAGTCCCAAACAGCTTGGAAGAGTTGGAAGGTAGAAGTGCTTTGCATTGAGATGCCATAAAAGACAGACCTCAAGGGACAGACTGGGGCTTTGCACATGATTCCTGGGTAAACAACAACTTGCTAATACACAATTGTGAATGAAAAGGAATCTTCAGAAAGAAATTAGCAAGTTTCTGAAGACAAATAAAAATGCTAATTGTAGTATATTAAAATACAGGATAAAAGAAAGGTAAATAAATACTTGAAACATAAGGGCTCTGGTATGGCTTTCTGAAGGAGATCTGTGCTCCAGAAGCCTGGAGTCAGGACTCTTCCAGGCATAGTAGAAACAGAGATATGTTCAAGACAAAGTCCCCTCCTCAAGGGAAGTTAGATTAAAAAATCTACAGCTGTTTAGAAATTAGCAGTGAAGTTTGCACCTGACTCAGGCCACTACATCCCTAAGTGCCACATACGGTGCTGTAGATCTAGCTGGCTGTCCCTACCAAAGGACTAACATGCAAGGCATCCTTTACTGTATCAGCATCTACCAGAACATTTCTAATACTCAGCATTTCATCACACTTTCCCCAAATTAAAAACTGAAGTTTAATTTTCCTGTGTTTTTGAATAAAGTTCCTAATTTTCAACTGTGACCACTGGGTAAAACATCACTGAAGTGTGAACTTGAAGACAAATTTAAGATCTGAGGGCTGAGGGAGTTGGGGCTGTTCAGTCTGGAGAAGAGAAGGCTCCAGAGGGACTTCTTAGCAGCCTTGCAGTGCCTGAAGGGGCTACAGGAAAGCTGGGGAGGGGCTTTGGACAAGGGGTTATAGTGAGAGGACAAGGGGTAATGATTTTAAACTGAAAGAGGAGAGATTTAGGTTAGAGATCAGGAGGAAATTCTTCAGTGTGAGGGTGGTGAGAGCCTGGCCCAGGCTGCCCAGAGAAGCTGTGGCTGCCCCATCCCTGGCAGTGTTGAAGGGCAGGTTGGATGGGGCTTGGAGCAGCCTGAGCTGGTGGGAGGGGTCCGGCCCATGGCAGGGGATGGGACTGGATGGTCTTTAAGGTCCCTTCCCACCCAAACCATTCTATGATTCTAAGATGAGACAACCTGAAGCTCTTAATGTGGCTGCATTATAAATTATTTGGATTTTCTCCTGTTTCCATACCTTCACATCTCTCTTGTTTTCAGAACACATTAATATTAGTTTAAAAAAAAAAAAAAAAAGACATTTATAATTCTGAAACCTTAATCAGACAAATGCATTAGCTTGTCAAGTGCCTGGATGTCAAGATCCAGCTGTTGAGACAGGAGGCAGAGAATAGCACAGAGAAGGGAAAGGATGAAAACTGAACACAAAAAGGTAGATTATGAGACAAGTAATTAGAAGTTCCCTTATTGTTTTCTATGGCAACAGAGTACAAACAAAACTCTTGTCCTGTTGGGAAGGCAGAGCTTCTAACAGCAGAACCACGAGAGCTGCAGTTTGCAGGAGGGCACAGGAACAGCATCACTCATTTCCTTTCAAAGGTGAATTACAGTTCAGATACAAACAAACATTCTCTTTACTTCAGCAGCAGGAAAAGGAAAGGGCACGAGGAAGTCCCATTTTAGCATAATGCAGAGTATAGTTTTTTGTTATTTCATACTCTAAGAAGCATAAATAAAGAGGCTGCCAAAAAACCCACACAGGATATGAGGTCTATCAGAACTCCATGGGTGAAAGGAATTGAGTTGTGTGTCATTCATAACTTAAAAACTGATCTTAGAGAATTTATTTTTCTCTAAAAAAAAAATATATATAAATAAATAAAATCAAAGACCTACACAAAACTGATACAGGCAAGATCAGTTTTGCCAAGTCCAAAACATGAGATGCCTCATCAACACTGAGAACTTGAAGGCTTTTTATTAGAGAACAACCTCAATAACCATTGGACACTACACGTGGGCATTGTAATTTTTCCATGGAGAAAACAACCAATGAAACTTCTATATTGCAACACAAAGTTCCAAAAAGTAAACTTGAATTCAGGATTTTTATGGTAAGTTGTTATGGCAAAGAAGAACAGTTTTGTGACCAAGATTAAATTTCACCCACTGGAGAGAACATCACAGTTGGGACCTAGGAAACTGTCTCTGTTCTTGGCCCTGGCCCAGAAAAGATGCAAGTCTTTTGTCAGATCATTAGAGTTTAATTACATATAAAAGTGTAAAAAGCACTACCCACTGACAAAGGAATTATTTGTAGTTGTTAAGTATTACCCCCAGAGTAAGGGAAGAATGCAGTCAGGCTACAAGACAAACTGCTGGGTTGAAGATCCGACGCTGGCGCTGACGAGAAAAGCAAATTGTGCCTTATTTTAGAAACTTTAATTAGTCTCACTCCAACATTTTCTTTTATAAGATAGGAAATGAGTTGAATTATCTTTAATTATCTTTACTGGTACTTTTACCACCAATTTCACAATAAGCAGTACGAAAGTGAAAGGCAAGAAAATGAGCCAGAATATTGGCAAATATAATCAAGACAACTTTAAGTACCTGACACAATGTTTGTCAATTCTCTTCCTACCCCATTTTCACCACATTTTTTGTGACCACACTTTCTTCTAGTTCCCTAAATCTCATTGACAATGCAATGCAAGCTCCTCCTCCCTGTTTTTAAACAAATTTCAAGGAAACTATTAAAAGCTTCCATAAAACCTGATTTTCCCTGCTCACATTGGATGGAATTGACACAGGAAGTGGGAATTACCCACAAAAACCTACACATACCAGTAAGACATTGAAGAACTGTGATATAAAGAGGATGCACAAAGGGGTAAAGAATGCCCAGCTGTACCTGTGAGCTTAATTTTGGACAACCGTGCCAAAATTCCTGGTAAATCATTGAGCTGTAGCTTCATTTCTTTCCATTGTCTGTCTTCTTTGGCTTCTGCTCTTACTGCTGTGAGTGAATCTTCAGTTTCTGCAGCTGACTCCGTTTCTCTCAACCCATTTCTGCTTGATGGCTCAGACAGAGGCTGAGGAACAGGTGAAATTGGTCTAATCTTGTGTATAACCTTTTTCTCTTGATCTAATTGCTGAAGCTCACGAAAAGGAGATGGAACTGGATCTGACTTGGGTTTGGCTCGTTGTCTGAGGTCTTTGTTGCATTGTGTTACATACTAAATAGAAGGAGAAATGTTGAGATGAATAGTTAAGATGATATTTCTGTCCATTTCAAGTTATTAACAACATCAATTATATTATAACATTAGTCCTATTGTTAGGAGAATTCTTTCCTATTATGACATGACTGAGTTAGCCTGAATTTCAAACACTCAACTCTGCCCAGGGAAGCTGTGGCTGCCCCATCCCTGGCAGTGTTGAAGGGCAGGTTGGATGGGGCCTGGAGCAGCCTGGGCTGGTGGGAGGTGCCCCTGCCCATGCAGGGGGTGGGACTGGATGGTCTTAAAGGCCCTTTCCAATCCAAACCATTCTATGATTCTGTAAATTCACATGTTGAAACATTTCCCAAGCTGAACAAGAGATCCCAAAGGCAGCTCTTCATTTCCCAACTGCATTAATCATGTTTTTTAAGCACTAAACTTTGTGCATCTTCAAGATATGCCCCAAACAATCAGAAAATTTCAGAAAAACAAAATCTACCTCCAATGCTATAAAATCATCTCCCACATTAGGCTACTACTGTTTATCCCAAACTTCACACTAATTTACGAAATTTCACAATTTTCAGCAGCAGTTCCAAAGAATATCTATTGAAAGGCAAGGTAGGAGACAGCTGCTTCTTCTCTTTTAGGACTCTTAAGAGAATAAAACACAGATGAAGAAGACAAGCACTTGGCTTGTCCTGTCTTTAGATTCTCTTTCCTAAAATACTTTATATTTCAAGCACAGGGACAGGCATAAAAAGACTAAGCTTTTAACGGGTCATTTACAAGTTAAGAATTATAATGAGGAAGAGGAATCTGAAATTTCAGCTGTGAATGAGTGATGTGAACACAGCTCAAATCAACAAGGAAACAAAAGTGGCTTTTGCTGCCACCCTCTTACAAGCAATACAATCACTCAAAGAAGATGCAATTTCAAGGGTTTCAATGATAAATACAGCTCTGTTAACACCTAAAACTAACATCAAACTATAGCATGTAACCCACTAGGTTAATGAGCTCAGGAGTTTTTATTCAAATTAACTGATAACTGTTCATTCAGAACACACAGAATCACAGGGGTTGGAAGGAGTTCTCTGAATGATCATCAAGTCCAAGCCCTCTGCCAGAGCAGGACCAAAACTAGGACAGGTCACTCAGAAAGGCATCCAGACAGGGCTGGAAAGTCTCCAGAGAAGGAGCCTCCACAGCCTCTCTGGGCAGCCTGTCCCAGGGCTCTGTCACCCTCACAGGAAAGAAGTTCTTCCTCATGCTGAGGTGGAACTTCCTGGGCTCTAGTTTGTGCCCCTTGCCCCTCATCCTATCACAGGCACCTCTGAACAGAGACTGGCCCTTCCATCTTGACACCCACCCTGCAGATATCCGTGAATATTAATAAGGTCGCCTCTTAGTCTTCTCTAGACTGAACAGCCCCAGGTTTCTCAGCCTTTCCTCATCAGGCAGGTGTTCCAGTCCCTTCCTCCCCCTTGTAGCCTCTGTTGGACTCTTCCCAGCACATCCCTGTCCCTTTTGAACTGGGAAGTCCAGAACTGGTCACAACACTCCAGATCTGGTCTTACTAGGGCAGAGGGGGAGGAGAACCTCCCTTGACCTGTTGGGAGACACTCCTCTTAATGCACCCCAAGATACCATTGGCTTTCTTGCCCACAAGGGCACATTGCTGCCCTATGGATAACTTGTTGTCCCCCAGGACCCTAAGGTCCTTCTCCACAGAGCTACTCTCTAGCAGGTCAGCTCCTAACCTGTTCTGGTGCATGGTGTCACTCCCCCCCAGGTGCAGGAGTCTACACTTGTTCTTTTTGAACCATATTAGGTTCTTTGCCCAGCTCCCCAGATCTCTCTGAATGGCTGCACAGCCTTCAGGTGGATCAGCCAATCCTCCCAGCTTCTTGTCATCAGCAGCTTGCTGAGGACACACTGTCCATGCTACCTCCACAAGTGAGTTCCACCCATCACCTGTATGACTACTGCTCAAACTCTGATTTGCTTCTTGGCATTTTAACAAATAACAAGCTTGAAAATAGTTTCCTTTCACATTTCTCAGTGTGAGACAAGCTCTCCACTTGAAAGGCACAGAAAGCCACCATCAGGCAAGGGACACACTGTGGCAGAAGCCACTGTCCTCGTCACACTGGGCTGTCTCCAACCTCAGATGTTTTAGCTGCCAAGTGCTTTTTCCCCCAGTGCAATCAAAAAAGGAGGTGCCTGGAATTGCCTGAACTTGGTAGATATGAAAACAATGATTTTTATCAACTAATCAACACTTGGAGGCATCACACAGGAGGAAAGAAAAGAATGAGTAACACAGGGTAAATGCACTTCCTGACTTACCATTCGTTTGAGAAAGTTAAAGTACTGAAATGTAATCAGTCTGTCATGGGCCACGTGGCACAGGTGCAGAAATGGGCATGGGATCTGCCTTGTCCCAGGGCTCCTCAGGTGCCAGAGAAACAATCCTTTTAAAAAAACCCAAACAATAGAACATTAGACTCCAGTTCCTCCTCTGCCACTGAGCTTGCTTCCAGCTCCCACTGCAGTGCAAGGGGGAACCAGGGCTGCTTAGGGGTTGGGGGACAACCAGGTGTGAAGGTTCCAGGGGAAAGAACTGAAGGTGCAGGCTTGTCCCAGTGGATTGGTGTTTTTTTCTCCCTGGTTTCTCAGCTCCCCTGAGACGCACTTGTAATTTATTGTTCCATGATTACTTCAACATCAGAGTCACAGATTGGTTTGGTTGGGAAGGGACCTTCAAGATCACCCACTCCCAACCCCCTTGCATGGGCAGGGACAGCTCCCACCAGCCCAGGTTGCTCCAAAGCCCCATCCAGCCTGCCCTTCAACACTGCCATAATGGATGGGGCACATGCCATAATTAACATTATACTGGAGAAACAGCCCCAGCAGTGCTGAAAGGAAGCAGCTGACCCGGGGCAGCACTGGTCAAAGGCACCAAGAGAGACACCGTGTACGACAGGACACCCATGTCCCGAGACAGAGGGACACACACAGATACATGGGCTCTGTCATTCCCACAGAGCAGTCCCAGGACCCTGCTCATCCCCTCACAGCCCCAGGACCCTGCTCACCCCCTCCGAGCAGTCCCAGGACCCTGCTCATCCCTCACAGCCCCAGGACCCTGCTGATCCCCTCACAGCCCCAGGTCCCTGCTCATCCCCTCAGAGCAGCCCCAGGACCCTGCTCACCCCCTCCGAGCAGTCCCAGGACCCTGCTCATCCCTCACAGCCCCAGGACCCTGCTGATCCCCTCACAGCCCCAGGTCCCTGCTCATCCCCTCAGAGCAGCCCCAGGACCCTGCTCACCCCCTCCGAGCAGTCCCAGGACCCTGCTCATCCCTCACAGCCCCAGGACCCTGCTGATCCCCTCACAGCCCCAGGTCCCTGCTCATCCCCTCAGAGCAGCCCCAGGACCCTGCTCACCCCCTCCGAGCAGTCCCAGGACCCTGCTCATCCCTCACAGCCCCAGGACCCTGCTGATCCCCTCACAGCCCCAGGTCCCTGCTCATCCCCTCAGAGCAGCCCCAGGACCCTGCTCACCCCCTCCGAGCAGTCCCAGGACCCTGCTCATCCCTCACAGCCCCAGGACCCTGCTGATCCCCTCACAGCCCCAGGTCCCTGCTCATCCCCTCAGAGCAGCCCCAGGACCCTGCTCACCCCCTCCGAGCAGTCCCAGGACCCTGCTCATCCCTCACAGCCCCAGGACCCTGCTGATCCCCTCACAGCCCCAGGTCCCTGCTCATCCCCTCAGAGCAGCCCCAGGACCCTGCTCACCCCCTCCGAGCAGTCCCAGGACCCTGCTCATCCCTCACAGCCCCAGGACCCTGCTGATCCCCTCACAGCCCCAGGTCCCTGCTCATCCCCTCAGAGCAGCCCCAGGACCCTGCTCACCCCCTCCGAGCAGTCCCAGGACCCTGCTCATCCCTCACAGCCCCAGGACCCTGCTGATCCCCTCACAGCCCCAGGTCCCTGCTCATCCCCTCAGAGCAGCCCCAGGACCCTGCTCACCCCCTCCGAGCAGTCCCAGGACCCTGCTCATCCCTCACAGCCCCAGGACCCTGCTGATCCCCTCACAGCCCCAGGTCCCTGCTCATCCCCTCAGAGCAGCCCCAGGACCCTGCTCACCCCCTCCGAGCAGTCCCAGGACCCTGCTCATCCCTCACAGCCCCAGGACCCTGCTGATCCCCTCACAGCCCCAGGTCCCTGCTCATCCCCTCAGAGCAGCCCCAGGACCCTGCTCACCCCCTCCGAGCAGTCCCAGGACCCTGCTCATCCCTCACAGCCCCAGGACCCTGCTGATCCCCTCACAGCCCCAGGTCCCTGCTCATCCCCTCAGAGCAGCCCCAGGACCCTGCTCACCCCCTCCGAGCAGTCCCAGGACCCTGCTCATCCCTCACAGCCCCAGGACCCTGCTGATCCCCTCACAGCCCCAGGTCCCTGCTCATCCCCTCAGAGCAGCCCCAGGACCCTGCTCACCCCCTCCGAGCAGTCCCAGGACCCTGCTCATCCCTCACAGCCCCAGGACCCTGCTGATCCCCTCACAGCCCCAGGTCCCTGCTCATCCCCTCAGAGCAGCCCCAGGACCCTGCTCACCCCCTCCGAGCAGTCCCAGGACCCTGCTCATCCCTCACAGCCCCAGGACCCTGCTGATCCCCTCACAGCCCCAGGTCCCTGCTCATCCCCTCAGAGCAGCCCCAGGACCCTGCTCACCCCCTCCGAGCAGTCCCAGGACCCTGCTCATCCCTCACAGCCCCAGGACCCTGCTGATCCCCTCACAGCCCCAGGTCCCTGCTCATCCCCTCAGAGCAGCCCCAGGACCCTGCTCACCCCCTCCGAGCAGTCCCAGGACCCTGCTCATCCCTCACAGCCCCAGGACCCTGCTGATCCCCTCACAGCCCCAGGTCCCTGCTCATCCCCTCAGAGCAGCCCCAGGACCCTGCTCACCCCCTCCGAGCAGTCCCAGGACCCTGCTCATCCCTCACAGCCCCAGGACCCTGCTGATCCCCTCACAGCCCCAGGTCCCTGCTCATCCCCTCAGAGCAGCCCCAGGACCCTGCTCACCCCCTCCGAGCAGTCCCAGGACCCTGCTCATCCCTCACAGCCCCAGGACCCTGCTGATCCCCTCACAGCCCCAGGTCCCTGCTCATCCCCTCAGAGCAGCCCCAGGACCCTGCTCACCCCCTCCGAGCAGTCCCAGGACCCTGCTCATCCCTCACAGCCCCAGGACCCTGCTGATCCCCTCACAGCCCCAGGTCCCTGCTCATCCCCTCAGAGCAGCCCCAGGACCCTGCTCACCCCCTCCGAGCAGTCCCAGGACCCTGCTCATCCCTCACAGCCCCAGGACCCTGCTGATCCCCTCACAGCCCCAGGTCCCTGCTCATCCCCTCAGAGCAGCCCCAGGACCCTGCTCACCCCCTCCGAGCAGTCCCAGGACCCTGCTCATCCCTCACAGCCCCAGGACCCTGCTGATCCCCTCACAGCCCCAGGTCCCTGCTCATCCCCTCAGAGCAGCCCCAGGACCCTGCTCACCCCCTCCGAGCAGTCCCAGGACCCTGCTCATCCCTCACAGCCCCAGGACCCTGCTGATCCCCTCACAGCCCCAGGTCCCTGCTCATCCCCTCAGAGCAGCCCCAGGACCCTGCTCACCCCCTCCGAGCAGTCCCAGGACCCTGCTCATCCCTCACAGCCCCAGGACCCTGCTGATCCCCTCACAGCCCCAGGTCCCTGCTCATCCCCTCAGAGCAGCCCCAGGACCCCCCTCACAACCCCCCCACCCTCACACCCTGGTACCTGCCATGCCCCGGGCGGGCCCGCAGCCCCGCGCCGCGCTCATGGCGCCGCTCTCGCCGCCCTTTCCCCGTCACCGCACGGGCGCCGCCATCTTGCCCGCCTTGCCCTCTAAACGGCTTCCGGGTCGGGGGTTCCGGTCCGGAGGCTGCGGGGCGGTGTGAGGAGGGGCCGGGAGGGATCAGGACGGACCCGCCGGGCCCGGGCTCGGCCTGCCTTCTCCCTTTGGGCCTAGACGAGAAGGGAGGCCGAGCCCGGGCCCAGGACTTCACGCCTTTCCCACCTTCAGACTCCCAAGACCCGCAGATGGAGGCTGTAAGTCACTGAAACCCTTTCAAACACAGAGACCTTGCTCAGAACCCTCATCCTCTCAGCTCTTCGCTTCTCTCCAGGGCTTAAATCCACGCAGGAGTCACCTGCAATCGCGGCGAGGGAGGCAGAGTGAAAACACTCACTAATTCGCCAAGAATATCCTGCTTGGAGGAGTTTTATTTCCATCCTCTTTGTGTTTGGGGAGGAATCAGGGCTTGGAATTTCAGTTCATTCCTTGTTTCACTCTGAGTCATCATCACTCAGCATACATCTCATCTATCTATCTATCTATCTATCTATCTATCTATCATCTGTCTCTCTGTCTATCTACCTACCTACCTACCTACCTATCTATCATCTATCTGTCTATCATCTATCTCTCTGTCATCTATCTCTCTGTCTATCTGTCTCTCTGTCTATCTTTCTATCTATCTCTCCATCTATCTATCTATCTATCTATCTGTCTCTCTCTCTGTCTGCCTGTCTATCTCTCTGTCTGTCTGTCTATCTCTCTGTCTATCTTTCTATCTATCTCTCCATCTATCTATGTATCTATCTATCTATCTGTCTATCTCTCTGTCTATCTATCTATCTCTCTGTCTGTCTATCTATCATCTATCTGTCTGTCTCTCTATCTGTCTATCTCTCTGTCTGTCTGTCTTTCTATCTATCATCTATCTGTCTATCTCTCTATCTATCTTTCTGTGTATCATCTATCTGTCTATCTCTCTATCTGTCTATCTCTCTATCTGTCTATCTCTCTATCTGTCTATCTCTCTATCTCTCTATCTCTCTATCTGTCTATCTCTCTATCTTTCTATCTATCTATCTATCTATCTATCTATCTATCTATCTATCTATCTATCTATCTATCTCTCTATCTCTCTGTCTGTCTGTCTATCTATCCCTTTGCAGTTCCTGTTTGCATCTCCAGTTCCTGCCACTTCCCACAGGATTGGCCTCAAAATTCACACTTGGAAAAAAAAACCAAACATCACATTGAAGGAAAAAACACACCCTATGGTTCCAGAGAGGGCTGGTGGGGTTTTTAGGGCAGGAAAAGGCTGAGGTGGCCTCTGTGTCAGGGCTGAGATTTAAGGCTTAATGATCTTCGTGGCCTTTCACTTGAGCCATAAATTGCACCCCTGGAGAGAGGGGGTCAAACACCACTTTTCTAATTAAGGAGCCTGTTACCCTGAGGCCTCAGGACAGAGCAGCAGCTCCTCCTGAAACAGTCATGGTGATTTAGGGCACGAGTGCCCTTCTGGCTTTTAACTGTGAGGCTGCTCCTGGGGAGGCAAACAACATCTTAGGATTGTTAGTGGGCACAAGCACCCAAAGCTCAGAGTTATGTTTCAGCCTGAAATGGCTCCTCAGGCTTTGGGTCTCACTCCCAAAGGGTTGGGGTCTGCAGGTGGTGGCTCCAGGGAGCCCTGGGTGTTGGCAGGGGTCACTTGCAGCTCTCCCCACCCTCCAGCTCAGCTCCCCAGAAAGGCTGATAAAAGCCCTGGTCCTGATGTCCCAGACCACACGGGAGACTGCAGGAGACCCATCTGGCACAGGCCTCCAAGGCCAAGCACCATTTTGGGTGATTCCTGAAGCACCTCCAACTTTTTTGCTCCGTATCTCTGGCTGCTTCCCCCAGGGACAGTCACTGCACCTTCCAGGCTGAGTTCAGGGGGTGCAAGGGGCATTTCACCACACGACTCCCATTAATGTTAATTATGGAGCACATACTAACGGGGTTATATGATCCTTTCTCCTATTAGCACTGCCATAAATCTGATTGGTGGGGCTTAATTAGATCTCAGCACCAGTATGCCATGGTTTGATACACCAAAGAGCAAATGTGTGGAGACAGCAGACTATTATTACACTTTAATCTCAAAAAAAGCTCTCCTTCCCTTACTCGTAACACCAACAAGGCTTCTTGTAAGATTGATTTGTTGTCAGAAAATGATTTAAAGACCAACTGTACAAATATTATATTTTCCTTGCTTTGTAGAATGGGGCGTTGATGTTAGAGCTCCACAGAGACCTGATGTACTTTCAGATAGGGACCACTGAAAGCCAAGTGCAAAATAAATAAGATGGCATCCTGCTGCTCTTGTGGTGACCTTTACAGATTGTTTCAGAACTGGGGCTGCTGTGTGATTTAGAAATACCCTGTGGGGGAAGATGGAGCTTCATGCAACTCTACACTGGTCAGCTGGAGCCCAGCTGCTCTTTGATTTTGGGGGGATCCAGTTATAGGATGTAACAGAAGTAATGGTGCCCAAATTGGAGGACACTCAGACACATCAGGAGCACAGAAATAACAGATAAGAAGAACCAGGGCAGTATTAAAGGCCAGACTGTAGAATTAGAAAGTTGACTGACTTCTTAGGGGATCTAGACTGGGCAAAAAGTCTCTGCTCAGCCCTACAGATCCCTGCTGACATCAAGAGTCAGCTTCAGTGTCTGAGAAAGTCCCATGACCCTGATGACCCATTGAGTAGTTCCTTGAGTCATTTGTGGTAGCTTTGGACTTTTCTGGGATGTTCTACAAATCAGCCTTTCTAATGCACAAGCCTGAGGCCAGTGCAAGGCTGAAGTGTGGATATATTTTGTTCTTAAATGCAGAAACCCCACAACCAGGAGCAAAATCTACTGGTACCAGGTGAGAGGCTGAAACAATTCCATTCCATGCTCTTAACAACTTGCCCTCAGCAAGTAACTCCAAGTGGAAGGTAACAGGTAAAAAACCAAAACCAAACCAACTCAGACCCTTCCCCCCATCCCCATCCTGGTGTCACACAGTGGTTGAAGCTTCCAAGGAGAAGTGAAATAGTAGTTCTGGTAGATCAGCTCTCAGTAACCTTTCTGAAGTAGTGTGCCAGACTGATTTCCTTCCCAAAGTAGTGTTCAAATATACCACAGGAAAGCAGAAGCTGGAAACCTCTGCCTCTTCCCAGCTGTCAGAGGTGGCCCTGTGCTGAGCCTCTGGTGTGCCAGCTTTTGGCAAGCCCTGTGTTGCCTGCTCTCCACCTGCAATGGACTAGGAGCCATCATTCCTTACTTCAAGTACAAACCTTCCAGCTTTTCCTTAGGTAGCTTTGCTGAGTGCCTGGTGTAAAATCAGCTGTGATCACATGTGGAGCTGATGTCAGATCTGGTGCCAACAGTGGGAGGCACAGGGCAAGGAGACTGGTGGTGGCTGGTTCTGAAGGGGCTGTGGGGGGCATTACCCCCAACAAGCACCCAGACCTGCCTTGGGCCAGCAGCCACGTAGGCTTGAAGCTTCCAAGGAGAAGTGAAATAGTAGTTCTGGTAGATCAGCTCTCAGTAACCTTTCTGAAGTAGTGTGCCAGACTGATTTCCTTCCCAAAGTAGTGTTCAAATATACCACAGGAAATCAGCAGAAGCTGGAAACCTCTGCCTCTTCCCAGCTGTCAGAGGTGGCCCTGTGCTGAGCCTCTGGTGTGCCAGCTTTTGGCAAGCCCTGTGTTGCCTGCTCTCCACCTGCAATGGACTAGGAGCCATCATTCCTTACTTCAAGTACAAACCTTCCAGCTTTTCCTTAGGTAGCTTTGCTGAGTGCCTGGGGTAAAATCAGCTGTGATCACATGTGGAGCTGATGTCAGATCTGGTGTCAACAGTGGGAGGCACAGGGCAAGGAGACTGGGGGTGGCTGGTTCTGAGGGGGGTGTGGGGGGCATTACCCCCAACAAGCACCCAGACCTGCCTTGGGCCAGCAGCCATGTAGGCTCACAAAGGAGCTGCACAACCACTGCAGGTCTCCATCACATCAGTCAGCCCTGTAACTCGCTCTGCCACTGCTGGTTCTGCTTGTTTCATCCCTTCAAGTTCTCACCCAGAGTCAACTGCAGCTATTTCCAGCAGCCCTTTGTCCTGAAAATGACACTCTGAAGAAAGGGACCTGTGTCCTGTGCCCTTTCTGCTGAGAATTGCTGCCTGAATAGCTCCAGAGCCTCCTTCTGTTTTATTTTTTCATACCTCCTTTCAGAGGTCTTTCTTTTCCTGGAAAATCTGTGTGAAATTCCCAAGCTGCCTAGGACTCAAAAGATCTAATAAAAATAAGATTTATTAAGAGCAGAGGGAGGAAATCAGATTAAAACTGCAGAAACAGCTTGCATAACTGATCTCTTCTCCTCAGCAACTGCTCAGGAAGTGCTCAGTGCTCACACATTAACTGTTTTATGGAAGTGCTGCTCAGCCTGGCAGGGCTGCAGGCTAGGTCTTCTCCTCAGGTATGGCCATTAGTTGCACAAAGCCCATCAGTGCTCCTGCTCACAGCTCCTCAGCACCAGATGCAAAGCTGTGTCTGGCCAACCCACTAGTAACCCCTTTAGCTCAGACCCCTCAGCAGTGGCAGAGGGACCCCAAGCAACATGGGGCCCAGAGGAGCTCAAGGCACCAGGACTCCCCGAGCTCCACAGCCCAGTACCGCCCAGCACAGCCAGTATCTCTCTGCTTCTGCCCACCACGCATGCTGTGAGCTCTTTCTGCCTCTCCCCGCTCTGCCCCATCACTCTTCTGCTCACCCTAAGGCCAGGACTTGCTACCCCCTATCAGCCCATCACCTCGCCCACCTCCCTGCCTTGGTCTGGGTTAAACCCCACCAGCAGGACATTTTGGCAGGACATCTGACTGGTCTTTCTCCCTCTGTGGTGTTCAACAAGGCCAAGTGCAGGGTCCTGCTCCTTGGCCACAACCACCCCCTGCAGCTCCACA